ACACCTCCATTGATAAATAACCTTTTATTGTCCTCTTCCTCTTGTCTCTTATCTCTGTTCTTTTTTTTACTCTCAAGTTCACTTCTATTTTGACGTCTAATTCTGCTCCCCCCTCCTCACCCGAGCTCTCCGTCCTCCACCCGCGACCGCCTCTTCATTAGGGGAACAAAAGGTGTATGGGCAGTGTTGAAGTCTGTCCTATTGTTAGGCCTTTAGTATGATTAGATTATCTTTAAAGTCTAGTGAATGGGATTAATCAGTCAGAAGTAATCCTGACATAGTGTGTGTGAGTGTGTGTGTGTGTGTGTCTGGGTCCTGTGTGTGTCGTCAATGAGGAGGGCCAACCTGCTTGCATGGAAATCAAACACACACACACACACACACACACACACACACACACACACACACATACAAAAGTGAATAAAAAAAAAAAGAAAAGAAAATCCCTGGGCACACATTTCTGTCACAACCTCTCCTCTTTTAATGACCCCTTTAGTCTCGCCTTCAGCACACATTTATCTCTCCGCCCGCTCTCTGTGGGTACAGCTGCTTGGGCTGGTGCGAGTGCGCACATGCGGTGATTTGTGCGTTACAGATCAGTGTCTGAGCCATTGTTTGTGTCTTGGCGTCTCTGTGCATGTTTTGTCTTTCCCTGCAAAGCTGAAGTCTTTAGTCACCACCTACCAGCGTAACATTGAGTTTGGACACACTCGTGACGGTACACAACCCCCCTGCCAATCCTCTCCTCTGTGTTTTCCCCCCGCTATCCCATCATCCTTCGTCTCTTCACCCTAAATTGAGCTGTTGGTGGGAGACAGTTTTTTGGCACCGCGACCAATGTAATCCAGTCTTTCAGGAAAAAAAAAAACTTTGCCAATCTATCCTAGAGTCCATGATTGCGGGCTTGGAGTCGATAACACATTTAAAGGTCATAATAGTTCTTCTTCTAGTGTACTTACGGTGTACTTTTAAACGTGTGCTTCAGGGTACATTCACCCAGCACTGTCATTTAGGTTTAAGATCAACTCGCTTCTCATCATGAAGTGCAGGCAGCTTTAGCTTTTTCGTAGTACTGGCCACCGAATAGCACTTTAGACTTCTGAGGGGACACAATGGAGACAATTGTCTCACCACAGCAATAAGGCTGGCTAATGTCAGGTTGTGCTGAGGACAGTGCAGGCAGTCACAGCTTAGTCATGGTGTTGCATTGCTGAGTATTGTCAGAAATGGGGAAAAGTGATTTGCTTTGGTTTTTCTTTCTTTGTATCTGGTTTCAGAGATGATATAATCGGTTGTGTGTGTGTAGTAGGGGGGCAATCTGGCAAGAAGATCATATTATCTTGATGTTTTGGGGCAGAATCATGATCTGAATCACAATTCTCCCCACTTACGTCCATAGATTATGTGATTAGTTGTGCATTTGGTAGCCTGGATGCAAGTCTGTCAGTTCAAGGCTAAAGGCACAACTCACAAATATCCTTATTTTACTGAAAATTCGGACCGATGTTTAAGATGTTGGTCTATTTGCCGCTATTCTCCCTCCATCAGGCTGTCTTCTGTTAACAAATGAAGTTACACCTCCAAAGCGTTCAGCGAGCATCGTCCTAATTGTGTCACAACCAATCACAGCTCTGCTCAGTTCACATGGAGCAGGAAAGTTTGGACAGCGCTGTTATTTATTTGCTTTATAAAGTAATTTTCACGACGCTCTGAAAAGCAGGTCGAATGCCAAATCGAGACCATCTCAATTCCCCAGCCCTAGTATGCAGGTGTTTTTTTGCCTGTGCTGGATTTTTCTATATCTCGTGTGCGGTAGACGAGCTTGACGCATCCTCTTGACTTTGAAACTTGCCCCACTCATCTCATGCGAGGACAGTCGCTCTCCGAGACTCCTCGCCACTCATCACAATGCATAGAGCATGCGTCTTTGCCTGCAGTGCGCTGAGTAGTCAAACACAGCTGGTTATCAGTGTAGTAGAGATTGGATGGGGTCAGGCAATTTTTTTTTTCTCTATGCGTTGTATTCTCCTCATACTTGTCTCCTTCAACTTCCTATATTATTTAAAGAAAGTCCTCAAGGTTTTGTCCGTGCGTTCCTTCTCGAATGAAAGTCCTCTGCAGTGTTGTTGATGTATGTGTGGGTTTTTTTTTTTTTTAAAGTTTGAATGTAGCATCTGCGACCATGCATTGTGCATACATACATGCTTCATGGTCATATACCACTCATGTATAGTGTGTATGTGCCAGTGAGAAAGGAGACTGAGAGGATGAAGTGTGAGTATTCAAGCAGAACAGCGTGGTAGCCAGTCACCCCTAGACTCTGAATACTAAATCTCCCCAAATGTCACTTTGAAGAAGTTCATGGATGAATCAGTGCCTCTTTACACTTCTTCTCCTTTCTCTCTCTCTCTCCCTCTCTTGTTTTTCTATTTCAATGCTTCTCTTATTCAGGAGATCGGACGCAAGGTAAGTCTAGAATTCTTTACCGTTTCCGAGATGCCACAGTTCTCGCTCACTCTTTCTGCATAATAGAGTCAAGAGTTTCTTTTTACTTTCAGCTTCTTTGACATGTTACATTTTTCTTTCCTCCAGGCATTTTAGATGCTTCGTATTTTGAAGATCTGTGTTTAAAACCCTCTTGTTCCAAATACTTTGCTGCAAAATGCTCCGCTTTGGGCATTAAAATTCGTCACTGTTTGTGAAAGCACGAGTGTATGTCTTGTTTCCATTTCTGTTTATTGTATATACTCTTTATTTACTCTTTCCAAAAAAAAAAAAAAACTGAACTCCAAATCCAACCTATCAATATATCCTAATTCATCACTTTTATCATATTTAACAGTCAATATACCGGCAGGGTTTGACAAGTTCATGCTGAGAAATAAGTCCACAACTAAAAATAGATTGTCCAAATAGCTGTGTTGTCCTTTCCGTAAAGATTAATCGATAATTAATCCACAATACCATTTTGATTTGAGTCATTGGCCCTCAATCCCAGTGTGATTGTGTTTTTTTTCTTCATCTGAGAGCTGATATATCAGATCTTATCTGTCCTGTGTAACACACAGAGCCAGCCGTACGTTTAGTGAAGGTCACAGTAAAGGGGAGGACAGTGGAAAAAGGTAGGCTGGGTAAATATATATGCCTGACCAGGACGCTTGTTCGCACTGAGAACTGATTTTTATCTCCTTTGCCTGATAGTAGTTTTGCTGAAGACATAAGAGGACAAAGAAACACATAGAGTACCTGCCAAGCCACGACCAATCCAATGCAGATCTACACACAAGGGTGTTCTGTACACATGAAGCAAAATGAGCACATATGCCCATACATGCAGACATCTTCTATATCTGGGTGGATGTACTTCTAGCAGTTTACTTTGTCTTACATTTAACCTTAAATGGATAAAAGCTGCGTTTTTGCCCATTAATTTACATTCGTGACGACAAAGTGAATCCATGATTTCAAATTTTTGGAAATGAATCGAAAATCAAAAAATCTCTCATTTACAAATGAAGCCAATCATTACTTTAAGATTTTGTAGAAGCCACTTTGCAGCAATTACAGACGGAGATCTTCTTGGGTAAATCTCCACAAGCTTTGGACGTCCTGGGCACTGTATTACATTCTTCCTGGCAGATCCCTTCAGCCTCTGCTAGACTGTATGGGAAGTGTCTGTGAATTTCAGTCTTTAGGGCTTTTAGTCTTGGCCCATAGCATGATGCTGCCCCCACCGTGCTCACTATGAGAGTGGTTTTAGATGGTGATTAGCAATGCCTGGTGTTTGTTGAATACAGTGCTTGGAGTTTTGACCTCCTCAATTACATTTTTTTTCTCATCTAACCACAGAATCTTTAAAGTACTTTTTGGCACACTCCAAGCAGGCTGTCATGTGCCTCAGAGTAGCTTCCATTTAGCTCCCACTTAACCATAAAGGAGTGGTTGATGGATTGATGAAGTGCTGCTGAGAAGGTTGTGCTTCTGGCAAGTTCTCACATCTCTCTAGAGGACTTCTAAAGCTCTGTTAGAGTGACCAGTGGGTTCATGGTCTCCTCCCTAACCAAGGCTCTTCTTGCTCTGCTGCTCAGTTTTTCTGGATGGCCAGCTTTACAAAGAGCCCTCGTGGTTCCAGACTTGTGATTATTGAGGGCACTGTGCTTCTGGGAACAGTCAAAGCCTTAGAAAAAAATTTTCCACCCTTTCCCTGATAATTCCTTGCCACAAGTACAAGTGGAGGTCTATGGAGAGTGCCTTGGACTTAATGATATGGGTTTTGTCCTGACATGCAGTGTGAATCCTGGGACCTTGTACACAGGTGTGTGGCTTTTCTAAACTGTGTTCTGTCAATTCAGCTGGCAACAGGGGAGCTCCAAAAAAAAAGTTATAGATGCATCGCAAGGATAATTAAAGGAAACAGAATGCACCTGATCCCAATTTGGAGTGCACATGAGTGGGTCTGAGTGCTTTGTAAATAAGAGATTTCAGATTTTGAGTTTTGATAAATCGCAAAAGCCCTTAAAGCATGTTTTCACTTTGTCGTCGCGTGTTATTGAATGTAGATTGATGGGCAAAGTGACAGTCCTATCTATTTAAAATTACATTTACAACACATTAAATTGTGCAGCCTGCAAAGGTGCCTGAATTCTGTCTGAATCCACTGTTCAGGCACGTAGGCGCAACACCCATAAGGTTTCTTCACAGTTTGATGTATGTGTACATACCAGTAAACAGAGGTCATGTGTCTGTGTTGTATTATAGAAGTGTCTCTTCTTTATAAACACCCGTCTAAGCTCTTACGACGGGTCCCTGTGATGTGTATGTACTCTTGTGTATGTGTGTTATTGTGATCGCTGTTAAAATTGGCAATGGTCCACTGAGCACATAACTAATGGTTTTTCTTCTCTTCTGTGTATGCATGTGTGTGTGTGTGTGTGTGTGTGCTGGATGGGGTGCTTGGGCGCGCGTGCGTGTGTGTGTATGTTTTATTTGTGTGTGTTTAGGCCAAGCAGCTGGAGGCTAGGGAAGCAGATCTAAAGAAGCAGGATGCTTTCTACAGAGAACAGGTGGCCCGGCTCGAGGAGAGGGTAAGAAACAGTTTGCAGCATACACCAAGCCGAAAAACTGGACTTAATTAATGTAAATGTGTAAGGTAACTCACAAAACTAGGCTCTAGCAGTCACTGCAGAAATAAAGTGATGATATCTGATTACAATAATGATGTATTTGTCACGTTTACAAGCTTGTCTGATCTGAATTCCTTCTTGCGAATTGGAAAAACAAACTTGGAGCATTTTTTGTTTTTCTCTTTAAATTTCTTGCGTGTAAATCAGAAGCGATCCTCATATGACTGGACGGTGAGCTGGCAGTAGATATACACAGGACCCGACTCTACATACTATTTGCTGAGCTGCACAAATTGTGTTTTTAGCAAAATGCTTTTCGACAGCAGTTCATTGCACACTGCTGCGAACTGACTTGTCTCTTAAAACCTTTTGTTTCGATGGTCATTATCGAAACACTTAAGAAAAAAAAGAGTTTTGCTCTGCAGATAAAATGCAAGAGTAATAAAAAGTTCTAAATAATATACCCATAGCAAACCAAGCCAGAGCATTACTAAAGAACTAAAGAGAATAATCTAAGGTGAAGGATAGAGAAGAATAGAACTTTCCTTTTCACAACAGAAGACAAAGGCTACATTTTGCGTTAATCAGTCACGAAACAAGAGGCTATACAGATCATCGCTGTTTTTGAGAACATACATCAAAAATCTGCAGTGCAAGTTTGTTTTTTCCCAGGGTTAAGTTTTTACAACATGCTTGTATTATTGAATAATGCAATTACTGACATCAGTGCACACAGAAGCGCACACATCAGCACCGAGGCACACGTTCACACACAGAATTCAGCCATCATACTCTGTGGGCTCAGCCGAAGCATAGACACATTCATTCTTTCTCTTCATCCCACTGCCCCACTGTTTTTGTTATTATCCTTCAACTTAAACTCTGCAAGCGTTCCACAGTGTGGTGTGTATTGCTGTCCTTCACTCTCTTGTTCAATGCCTCCTTGTAATTGTGTTGCTGCCACTTTTTTTTTTTTTGCCCTCTGGCTTTCCTTTTTTTTTTTTTCTTTAAATTTCACCCATAATTCCTTTGCCTGAAGGATAAAGGGTTAAATCTGATTCATCCCTGTGTGTGTCCTTCTGTCCCTGAAAATGACACTACCCTGATGTTCCCTGTCAAACCAGCGTCCTACGGATTGGGACAAGGGTCAGCCGCCATGCTTAGCACACTTCAAATGGCAGCTCCATGCTGGTCCCAGTGAGAGTTGCCTGCAAGGCAGGGGATGCCCTGTTAAAGTGTGTTTAAAAAGGATGCCTTCATGTGGCTCTCAAATCATAGTGTATCTCAGGAAGGATATAATGCCCTATTTAATGTGCTTAAAATGACACCTTCACGCTGGGAAGGAGTTTTTCTCCCCTTTGGAGGGTGCTAAAAGTCAAATGCCCTCTGTAGTGGAAGCTAAATGGAAATTCACACTGTTGTGAAGGTATTGTGGAAGAAGAAAACACTCATATATTCTTAGTCCTAAGAGTCTCACACAATTCAAGATTTGTAAAATGCTTTAGTCTTTATGCAAATAGCTCAAATGTGATTTCTTGGCTAAAGTAACTGATGTCTTATTTTGTGTTTCTTAGCAGTCTATGTCGTTATTGCAAAAAAAAAAGAAAGAAAAAAGCTCCTTACTCTTTACTTTTTTGTTTCTTCATGCTTTCATGTGCTGATCAAACAAACGGGGGCAAATGTAATGATTCACTATCACAGTTTTAATAGTCTGGATGTGTTGGCACCCATTATGTAGAAGTTGATCTACAACATAGTAGAAAATTATGAAGTTTTAAGGCAAACCGAGAAGAGACTGGCATCATAGAACGAGGAAAGTGGAAATAATATGAGATGTAGGCCACTGATCCAGCCATACAGCCAAGTCTCTGTCTTTCCCCCAGCTTCTATTGCATTATTACATCACTGGACAATGTAGCTCTACTGTATCGCATAGTATGGAGGCAAAAGTGAGTGCAGATGGTAGGAGCGATGAGTCCCAACTAACACAGGCATTATCGACTCCAGGCACTGGTCATCCATCAGCCACGTTGGCCTCTGGTCAATATTCCTTAGATCAAAGTGTCAACAAATCACCTTCACACCTCAGAGAGAAACAGAAGATTGCAAGAGGGAGAGGGGACAGAGAGGAATGGACGGACGGCAAGGAAAGAGATACTGTTTTGAAGCTTGAGGAGCTAGAGATTCAACTCACGAAAAGACATGACAGAAACAGGAAGTGGACACCTGGAGACAAGTTGGAAATTAAAGAGATTGTGTCTCAGAGGGTATCGTAAGAAATTATGATAAAGTGACATTTATGAGTCAGCGAGAGAACAAGAAGAAATACGAAAGTAAAAGAAAGAGACAGAGGAGTGGTATAAAAGATTAAATGTCACTAAATGATAAAGAAGACGAGAGTATGGGAAAGGAAAAGGTTGAAAGACCACCACAAGCCATCTGTGACGATTACAAAAGGGAAGGCGAGTGTGAGAAGCAGGGGAGTGTAGGAAGGGTCGGAAAAAATGAACAATGTTAACACTGATTCATTTATTGATTCATGCAGAGGAATTAAATGACAAATTAGTTTCCAAACCACCTTGTCCACAAAAATTTGCACAGAAAGCACATCATTTCAATTTGCGGATGATTTAATCAGGATTTATGGCCTGTGGAGACGACACACAGCAGAAGGAGCAATCGCGTGTGCATTCTGGGCGACGGTGTGTGATCTCGGGCTCCTGTGTGTAACTGAGGATCAATGGTGGGCATATTGCATGTTGTCTTACTGCGTGTCAAGCGGCTTGGGACTCCGTAGGGGGTGTCGTTTGTTTGGGTTGTGTTAATAACGCTCCCTTATTCTTGTTCTGGCCGCAGTGCCCCATTTGGCACCAAGTCTAGCCTCTCTTCATTCCCCGTGCTCGTCACCCAACGTAAGCCAAAATCACTTTTGGCATGTTCTTTTCCTGCGTGCTCACTGTAATTCCTGCTTGCTTAATAGCGTCCACTCCAGATGAAGGCGTTCAGTACGTATACACCATGCAAGAACAAATCTAAGGCAAGACAACAGCTAAACAAAAGATAAGCAATTGTGAACTTGTGTAGCAGCTTCGTAGATAAACCGTAAAACAGCTGGATAACAAACATACAGTATCAATAGCAGGCTGAATATTTATTGTATGCTTTAAATTATGTGTTTTGCTGTGATTCTCGCTTTGCTCCAAAAATGTTTTTCCTCTCCAAAGAACATTAAAATCTGTATTGTTGTTCACAAAAGTTAATCTGTCATCATTGTTCAAGGAGAGAGAACACATAATTGTACATGCTGTCTGCTTAGACTTGGACAAGAAAAAGTACTAAATACGTCTCAGTTCCAGCTGCGTAAATAGAAAAAAAAATTGCTGCTTTTGTCAGTTTACACTATACAATAGAAGTAAATGTCAATTAAATGTCAAATGATTCAAAATTATATCACCTCTCAGTAATTGCATTACTTCTAATGCTGAACAGTGGGGCATTTGTGCTTAATTAGAAATGTAAAAAATGAAAAAATGGCATCAAAATCTGCCAAAAGCGTGGGAGTTAAACTCAGGTAAAGTGTCATTAACAAACAGAAAGTAAACTCCTGAACTCCCGAAGAAAAAGAAAACTACAATCACATCACACAAGACGACCAGTGGCAAGTGATGCTATTGGATCGCTGGCCAGTGAGACCAGTTGACATGTTTCTAACCATTATGTGCACACTGTAGCTATCACACCATAGATGCTTTTTTTTTGTTTTGTTTTTTTCCAGCAAGAAATTAGATTTCACTTTGAGCGTACTCCTCGCTAAATATTATCTCCCGTCACATTTTCCCACTCCCTCCATCTGCTCTCAGTTCCTCCCTCACCTCAGGATTCCCCCAGCATCTTGTAGAAAGAGGTGGAAAGAACCAAAAAGAGAGGGAGAAGGGGGGGGGTGAGAGAGAGAGAGAGAATATAAGTCTGATATATATTACACGTCTGTTCCAATCCAACATGGCCATTCATCAGAGAGGCTTCCAGTGACAGGCCATCACCAGGCTCCCAGACAGCTCAGCCTGCTGCCTCCGCTGCTGCCGCTCATTGGGGCCACAGCTACCAAATAGCCCCTGAAAACAATATCTATATATTTATTACATTTTCACTCAATACCTGCCTCGCTGTAAAACAATCTCATATTTAACAATCAACTTGCCAATGTTTCTTTTTTCTTTTTTTTTTCTTCTCCTCCCCTCTCTCCTACTATGTCTTGTTGCAGCCCTCCCTTCTCACCACATCTGTCTCTATATCTGTCCTTTTTTTTTTGAGAGTGGTCTTTTTTTCCCTTCGTGCCTCAATTTCATTTTTTTTTTCAGAAGGGATTTTTTTTTTCTTCTCTTTTTTTCCCCTATCTTTCTTTTCGCCTTGTATATCGATGAAATTGGATTTTTCTGCTCTCCCATGGAGGACAATCACAGCAGCAATTGCCATCTCATAGCAAAGTTCCACAGCACTGTGAAAGGAGGAAATACAGGAGAAAGAGCATTAAAAAAACAGTAATGGCTTCTATCTCTCTATCTCTGTCTCTGCCTCTGACTTGCTTCATCTCTCCCTTTGCTTGTCACCCTTGTATCCCCCTCTTTCTCAGTCTTTTTGCCTTTTTGTCTTCATTTCTGGGGGACTGGAGCTAAAACTATTTTCCGCCTCTTGTTAGAAATATTAAAATAAAAATAACTGGAGTTCCTCGGATCGTAGCAATAAAGATGCTGTAAGTTTTTGGGAGTTCTTTCTCTCCCGTACCATGAAGCGATCAGTGCAGTCGCTGTGGCTCTGTTGTGAAAGCGGAGACAGAGTAATCCTGCAGCGAAGACATGACAGTGTGCTGCAGTGTTAAATTATTGTGTCTGACACTGTTTGCTGTTTTAGCCGCATGATGGGATTCGCAGGGATTTAACGGGAAGTCTTTTCAAGGAATGGTGATTTCACAACAACAGGATGGCACATTCATTTATAAAAGAAAAAAAAAAAAACGACAAACTTGCAGCTTTTACTTTCCACAAGCTAAAATATTTAATACCTGGGTACGACTAGTGAACATTCAGCTTATAGGGGGCAGTGGGTCACTGTCACTGTCATTTTTTGCTGGCGTGTTTATTTTTCTGTTCTAACCTCGTATGAAGATCAAAACTTAGGCGAGACACTTGATTTTATTTTGGTCACGAAAGTAGCTTTGCATTGTCTGTTTATGTAGTGTATAATGAACCTCCAGTGGTTTACATGACAGGAAATTTAAAGGTTCTGTGTCCAAAATTCAAAATCATTTCATGTCACTGGAGCACCTCAGACCAAAACAAAGGGGCACCTTACAAAGATAACGTTGGCTTCATTTCACCTTTCTTGTTCCTCAAAACTGCAGCAAACTCTCACATGGAGCTAGCTGACATAAGTATGCACAAATTAGGTACACTACATAAATAAAAAGCTTTATTTTAGTTTGTTTTTTGGGGGGTTTTTTGGGGGGGGCTCTGGCGGAACACTGGACTGCACATTTGCTTCTCCGTTGCAGTTGGAAGATCATTCTTGGTCCATTTATAAGCACAGGGAGGGCCAACAGTTTCAAAGGGAGGGACTCACGTGCACTAACATGCACAAGTAGCCAGTCCACCTGCTAGAACTGAAAAGAGAACAACTCTGGTTACAGCACACACAGACAGGTATTCGTTCTCTAACAATGGCACCATTATTCCACTACATCTGTACATAGTAAACAGTTGTTTGCGGCGATATTAGTTCTGTATTTATGTTTAAAATCTTGCATCTTTCACCTTTTAAACAACTAAAAACTTTAAATTACTCATTAAAGTTATGTTTATCGGAGCTATTTCTTATTTCTGTTGTTGCTAAATGTGTCAAAAAAGAAAATGATCCTACTCTCTTCTTATATGAAGCTATTGCTATAACAAAAGCTGGACAAAAGGGAAAACGGCAAAGACAGCTCTCACCAAAGTCTGTAAGGAGAGTCCAGGAAGTGATGCCACTTTGCCAAACCATTTCTTTTGTACAGATTAAACACCGTTGGCAGCTTTATGTTGTGTTCAGAAGGAAAACAGAGCACATTATTGCCTCTAATTTGACCGATTTTAACTTTAGCTGTAATATAACAAGCAAAGAACAGGCCAGCAGTTTGTGTGGGAGTGTGTGTTGTTGCACTCACTCTGACTGATGTCAGAACTGATGAGAATATATTTTTTGTGTTACTTTCTCCTTTTTCCTCACGTCTCTGCATGTTGATGAAGTAGATTAATGAAAAGATACAGTTTTTCTTTTTTCCTCAAGAGCAGGTTACATAGGTTAAGTGTTTGTGTCAGGTTTTAGTGTAATTATGTCTTTGCATTGACTTTGTATGTCTGCTTCTAACATTAGTCTTGTCTGAACACATGGTTCAAGGAGCTGGTGGGCAGATTTTGTTACCTTTGCCTAAAAGCAGATCTTTTTCGTAGTTAAACAGATAGTTCTCGTTTTCTTATCAGTGTATCAGTTTTGTTCTGCGTATGAAGAATAAACTCAGAAACAGTTTACCAGCCTCCTTACTCGCAATATGAGCAAGCTGCACTGAGTCACACAGCAGAAGTCTCATTTTCTCCAGCTCTGCAGAATGGTAATGTTGTCCATGGTGGAGTTTCTCCCCATGTCGGCCCTCCTGCTCAGAAGCAGATAAGAGAAAGAAACCATCAGTACAGGGAGTTATTTGTTTTATTCATTAAAAATGCGAAGCTTTTTCTCTAAATTGAGCTGAGCCTGCGTCGGGGTACCGCTTCTATCTCCTCCATATCGCTGCAATGCATTAGCAGTAATGACTTAATTTGTCTTTGACACCCCCCACCAGCATTTTTGCTTTGCACCAGATGAGCTAAAAACCTAGTGGAAAGCAAGTGGAGTAAATGGGATGTAAATAAACAGAAACTCTGTTTTATTCCAGAGGTGTTCGATACCTGATTGCACAGAGAGGTCGTACGCTGTACCGGGTCGTTGTAGCTGCACAGTGCTGTTCATCCAGTGACGAAGCGTTGCTAAACGGCAGACATTGATCAAAAACTTCTTTCTTTGCTCTCTAAATCAGTTGGGACAACAGCAGGACATCGCAATTCGAGACCGCTCAGTCGGTAATCACACAAATTACACTGTTCTCTGCCTGGTAAAGCAAGTGAGCGAGGGTGGTTTCTTTTTTTGTTGCTGTTTTTTTTTTTTTGTGTGTGTGTGTATGTGTTGCTTTATCTATCTAGCCACCAGGGTACATATAGACACTTTATGCTGTATATCCACATATGTTTCCATGCTGTGTGTGCCTCGTGTGAGTAGGTGTGTGCACATAAACATCTACGTCGTGTGTGTACATATTGTATTGTAAATGGTCCTGCAATCACTGACACACGTGGCCTTTTGTCCTCTCAGGTGGATTAGTGCGCTGATTAGTGCCAGCTCTGCCATTTAGGCAGTTATTATTACCTGATACTTAGTATTCTAGACAGAGACCAGAATCTAGCTCGTTCTGTCTCTCTTTCTCTTTTCGGCGGCTCAATCTCGGCACCCAGGAGGAGTCTTATTCTTGCCTCTTTAGCAGCCCCAAAAATCTCTTTTTAGTCTTTTTATCTGTGATTAAGCTTCTGTTTTAAATCCCTTTTCCTTCGCTCTTGACAGTTCCTTTGTCTAAACTGCAAACCACTTGAGTCAGGGCCAAGAGGGCACCAGTACAGCATGAGCTTACAAGTTAACTCTTAAAATCTGGGCATGCTCTTTTTAAAAAATTTTTTTATTGTGTTTCACATACAAACTAATATCATCCTGAAGGACAACCAGAGTGGGCTGCTCGATTATTCTGACCTTTTACTTCTTCTACTTTTTGTTTTATTCATTATCTTTCTTTGTTCTGATTTTGCTTATGACAAAAAGAAAAGTATTTTTTATGCATATTGGAAATCGGCTTTTTGCAAAATCATACCTTAGCATGTTCATGTGGTCAAAGTACTGAGCTTAGTAGTCATATTGATGGCAACAACCAAATCGAAGTTCTTTTAAATGATGTGTACAACGTGAAAAAGTGAAGTGTTCGGAATCCATTGCAGTTCATCTGTATAAGTGTCCATCCAAATGAAGAGGACGAGAATTGGTATCAGACCTTTTGTCAGTGTTGTCATGTCCCATCCTCTTTTAGCTCTACAACACATGACTATTGATCTTTTCAGCAGCGCAGTTCATTCCTATTGATCTTTTCGGAACTATGATGAATGTCTTCCCTGCTTGGAGGTTAAGTTAGAGCAGATAGCTTATGTCCGAGGCTTACATTTGTCACAATTACGGCATATCTGTAATTTATGCAAGATGATTTAAGTGTTTGGTAGACAGTAATGCTGATGGGTTAGCTGGTCATGGATTGTATAGGATTTTCTTGTTTGTTTGTTTTTGTTTTTCTTATTTCTTTGCACAGCTTTGTAGTCTGAGTAAGCTACAAATGTGTTTTTGTTTCTGACTGACTTGTTATTTTGCACACACTTTGACGGTCTGCTTGTTTAAGCTAATTACCGCCTGAGAGATTTCCGTGCCAGTTCTGCTTCATACAGTACGTGTGTCGATTGTGGAGCTAAACATTAACTCTACAGGTAATGGCACGAAACATTGCATCCATTTGATGTGGAAGAAAATTCACACAAAGTATATTTTGTAAATCAAGCTTTTGATATGAAAATATTGGTGTTTTTAGCATGGAGCCCTCCACAGAAAGGCATGTGTATTGGTAGACATTACCCTCGATCAAACCTCGTGCAACTCTCAATCAAGCTATCCATCACACTTTACAACCCCTCACAGTCTGATTATAAATGTGCATAACAGCCACTAAGGGCTGACAAGACAGATCTTGGTGGGCTTGTATAAACGGTCGAGGAGCCAGGTTATATGGCCGTGTTTGAGGAGGTAATTTAGGTTGAGTGGTCCAGCTATGGGTTCATTTGCTATGGGTCACTGGGGGATTATGACCGCTGGTCTGTACATTGTTGACTAGCGACCCTGTGGCCTTACAGAATTGCTGTGTGTTATTACAGCCGAGAGGACAAGCACAAACACACATACACACAAATACCCATAATTCACACCCACACACAGAGACAATAGTGCACAACCATTCTCATATTTGACATTTATTTTTTTTGCAGACCTACACACACAATTGGTGTGTGTGTGTGTATATATATATATATATAAGATTGCAAAGTTAGCTTCCATGTTGGGGACAATACACTGTGACCTGCACCCCTACTATCCATCTCCATTAGATTTTCATGAAGTTTGAGACATGTGGCAGACCTTTGTAGATGCAGCTGCACAGACTATAGAATGATAGAAGATCTCAACTGTAAAGACGCGTCACTCAGCTGGAATTTATTCTTTTGCATAAATAGCTTCAATCTGATTATATATATATATGTATATGTATGTATGTGTGTGTGTATATATATATAGATAGATATATATAGATATAGATAAGAGCGTCATGCATTTCTCTCATTCACTGACTTGCCTCTGTCTCTCTCCGCAGAGCGCTCAGTTCTACAAGGTCACCACTGAGAACTACCATAAAGCTGCAGATCAAGTCAATGCCAAATTCAGGTAAGTTGAATGTTGAGAATTGACTTAAAAACCAGGAGGAAAAAAAAAAGGTTTTCAAATGCTTGGGCACCCTTCAACCTAAAATTTTAATGTGACACTCAAAAGCATGGGCTCCTGTCAGCAACTGACTGAAGATCTAAATAATGAAGCTCACTGTTTCCTGCAAAACAGGAGAAGACACTTCCAGCTTGTAATTTCCATTGTGTGAAAGATCATTATGAAAATGCACTTAGGGAGAACTGCAGAAGCCAAGGCAAGAGCGGAAAGACCGAGAAAACTTTTTTTATTTAGCATTTGCTGCTTTCACAAGCAGAGTGGAAGAGTCAGAAAACCTTATCTGCTATCTCATCAGAAAAGTCAATGTTTGAAGTATGCAAAGCAACACCTGGATAAGCCTGGCTTGCTTTGAGAAACAGGTGCTGGGGACAGACGAAGTTCAAATTGACATTTGTTAGGAGACTAAAAGAAGCAGTGTTTGATCAAAAGAACTTTGTGCGCATGCAGAACTGAAAAAACAAAAGAAAAGAAGCAGTGCGTCAACATTTGATGACGGGCTCATCTTATTGTCTTTTTGCTGCAGGAGGTTTTACTCAAATTAAAAAAATATGAAATTTGTCTGGAAGTGCCCAAACTTTTGCACACAACTGTTAATCACATGACAACAGTTAAATGAGTTTTTTTTTTCTCTCACCAAAAGCCCTTTTGTCACATACGCCGGTATTTCTTTTATGATCTTGGTATCCATTGTGTATTATGGAAAATGATGCATTCACTGAAGATTAGAAGTCCATACGGACCAGTGAACACGCTATTGAATTATGCTAGCCACATTCTAACCTACGTCTTTCAATCAGAATCGCATTAGCCTGGCCCATTAGCTGATGTTGATGATGTGGTTCGCTGATAAGCCCGATCGCATGCTGATGATAGCAGGCGGGAGTTGAGCCTTTTTAATATTTCAGTGATGGAGGGATGTCATTTATACTGAATATTTATCCTAAAACAAACCTGGATCAACCTGTATCAACAAATAATTTGTAGCAGTTTTGAAACATTACCCACGTGAAGACACAAGGTGCAAGATAATCACAAAAAAAAATGTAGGCTCTTTTGCTCCACCGCGATACGAACCATTGCTCTTGTACTCAAACAAATATTAATATCAATATTTTGGAATCTTTTTTTATCCAAAGTGCATTACAGTAGTGTGAGTGCATACATTTTAGCATGTGTTCCTTGTATCTTAACCCTATTATTATACAGCCACACCTAGCGATGATGCAATCATCCAGGAGGTAACATTAAACATCCGAGCTGTCATGGATGTAGCACATATCCAACACGTATATGTAACTCAAGAAGATGCAGAATCCCTTCCCATCCGTGTTCCATCTGTCTTCTTAATAAGAGGCCATTAGGCTCCATAGTAATGTAGGGAAAGTGGATGAGGAGCCTGCAGGAGGTGGGGCAAGGACGGGCCCTGGCTCTGAGCTCACCTCTAGGGAGGCCAGACTGATTGTGTTAGCTCGTCATTAGCCAGCGCTAACACTGGGATCATTGTCTCCCTTAGAAATGCTGGAAACCGATTAGCCTAGCCCACCAGGGGTTTAGCGCTAGACTCGTGGAAGCCGGAGCTGAGACTTCCCAAATCACATTAAAGAAGAGAAAAAAAACTGGAATAACATTAGCGCAGAATGACAGTGCTAACGGCGAGCGAGCGTCGGGTTAATGTGCGGGTAGTCATGTGACACGGGCCTTTGCACAGAAAGCAGCGATTGGTGGATTTGATTATAGGAGGTGCATTAGCAGGGTTGTGACTGGATTACAATAGTGAAAAGACAATGCGTGTGTGTGTGCGTGCGCTAATGAAATGGCGGGAAGGTCTGGTGTTACAAGACGGGAGCAGGGATGCATTGAGGGGATCAGAGCTGAGGGTTAATTGGATTTTACAGGGAGTGTTTGGCCCATCCTTGTTTATGTGTACGAGTTCATGCAAGATGTTTGTATGCTCATATGATGAACAGCTTTCGTGAACGCACCGTGTGTGTGTTTCATCAAAGCTGTGTCTCTTGTGACAGAGACCCTACAGAGATAAGATACTATCTGTGGCCTCTGTTGAGTAATAAGAGGAAATATTTTTTTTTTGTCTAGCAAAGGCTTTTGATTTCCTCGGAGCTGAAAATGTCCCCTTGAGATTAAAAAAAAAAAAAAAAAGAGAGAGTCAGCACCTTATCCATACTTGATAGAATTAACATTTGATATGTTAATGCGAGAGTGTTATAAAGTGTGGGAGATGACATCTTTCGTATAATGTCTTCATTTCCCCACTTTAGCTCGTGTCACTGTAAAGAGAGCGTTAGGGCTGATATTAGGCTGCGGTTTATTATAATAGAGGAGATGTGTGGGACTGGATGTGTGGCTGGCTGTCAGGGGTTAGAACATCTCAGTATACATACCTTTGGAGGATTTAATTAGGACTTTTGCTCGGGTTGAGTTTACTTCTTGCTTTGTGACATCGGGATTGGGACGAGGCAGAAAAATCAGGTTTGGAGAGCGGATGAGATTTGGGAGGAACGTTTCTGTCACAGCTGTATGCAGCACCGGGTTCTTCTGGGTTGATGCTCCGTAATAAGTCAGCTTGGGAAATAATTACTTTGGTCTGAAACTGGATTGGGAATACAAGTGATTGGTTCATGACCAGATATTCTTGGCAGCAGAGAAATGATTCAATTGAATTACACCAAGATGAAAATTTGACTTCTGCGTCTCCCCCCTTTGAATGTATCCCTCCACTGACAGCAGTAGTCTCGGCTTTTTTTTTTTTTTGAGTGAATTTCATTATTGAACGCGATATACATAAGTTAACTGAGTAATTTCACAAATAGGTGGTACAAATAGGCTTCGGCAGGTAGCCGAGGTGCATATGTTTCATTCATTGCGGCGGCACACTGTTGTCATTTTCTATGGCGATGTTGAAAGAAATAAATGAAAGAGGTAGCGACTCGGGGGAGGCACGGTCGGCTGTGTGTGCAGTACGAAGTTGCGCGCTCGTGCAGTTGTTTGTGTGCAGTACAGCTGTTCCCTGCTGTTCTCCTGCAGTATTCCCGCCAGAGTTTTCCGAGAATGATGGAGCTCTCCCAACCGGAACGCTACTGCATCACTGTGACCTCATTACATCCACACACATGCAATCGCACACTCTCGAGAAAAAAAAAACACACACTTCTATATATGGAACGATATGTACATATATATATATATGTACAGACTTTCTCACAGTTACAATTTTGCGCATGAAGGCAGTGCAGCACAGTAACCTTTTGGCATTTCATGACTGTGAACAACATAGTCTGAAGTGAGAATGAGCACACGCCACTACAGCTGTAAATAGGCCCTCATAGTGTCTGATATATACATGAATCATGAACTACACGGTAACAACATGCTCTCAAAGGCCAAGACAGAAGACATTAGGTGTGCGTTTCTGCTACATATACACAACATGTAGCAGATAATGTACCCGCAGTGTTTTCGACACACGCGCACGTACACGCAGGATCAAAGCTTTTACTCACTTTCCCTTGTGACACTGACTCCAGATAAGAGTTCCCAGTTGCCCGTAGAGAGCAGGCTGTCTCTCGCTGCTTTCTGATTTATATGCTGCCACATTTTTCCACTAGTTGTTTATCCAAGTCTGATGCATTATCACGCTGTCCAGCTATGAATGCGTGACCTTTACCGTGCTACATGTATGTAAGAACGCACGTGTGCTTCCATATGCGAGGACGAATGAGGGTGCTCACGCGGATAGTGTGTGTTGGGTGTGTGCGCGTCGGCTGCAGTGACCCAACGGGGCTTTCGGTTTGAAATGTAAGATGACAGGCACAGAGCGAAATGATAGATGTGTGATTATGTGAAGAGATGGAATAAAAGAACGGTGGCGTGGTCCTAAGCCTCCTGTCAGCGCTAACCTTTGGCGGGGCTTTGAACCTCTTTGTCGAAGCCGGTCCAGGGTCCCTGCAGAATTGCGACGGGACAGGGGCGTCGCGTATCGGTGAATAGGTCGGTTTGACAAGGGTATGTAATGCTAAGGAATTAGGACCGTCACTGCTAATGTCCTCGTCCAAGTTGCCTGCCATGATGGTGACATTTGTCAAAGATCAGAAAGGCCGACGCATTTTTACACTTTGGGCTTTACGGCTAAGCGTGAACAGTTGTGTCTAAGCCGAGCATTTTCCCTCCTTATACTATACAGTCTGCCACGGAGAATAAAATCTCATTTTATTCTGTCACTTCACTGTCACTCCTCTCCTCCCTAAGGCTACACACTCACTTCCCTTTGTCTGTTGTTTATTTTTTTTTTTTTTTTTAAAACTCTTTTGAATAAATCTGTTTTTAATTTAATCCAGTTGACAATAACAGCAGCCGCAGTCCTCGCTTTGTCTCTCCGCGCACACACACACACGCATGCAAAAGGTGGAATGAGGAGGAGTGGAGCAAAAACTTGTTGAATGCAAATGGCTCGTTGTTTTCCTTCACAACACTGTTGTGCCGCGCTGCCTCGGTCAAGAGACCACAACTGACAGTCTGTCTTCTCCTCCGTGTTATGTGGGAGAAAGCAGAGCCCACTCATCCCCCCTTTCATCCACTTAGAGCCGTAAACATTCAGCAACAAACAACCCTCAACTGATTTTGTTTACTTAAATTCATATTTTATGCGTCGAGTTATGGATGGTAGAGAATTTTTCTGTAGCTCTGTTGGGACAAAACTCAACTTTTGGTCATTGGTGCTGAAACCCCTAAGAATCAGAACTCAGGTTTGGGCTGAAAACATAACTAAGAGTCCGTTTTATTATTTGAAGAACATCGCCAGAGTGCCAATACGCACACACCGCTACACACTTTTTATTACCTGCAGGATTGACTACTGTAACGCTCTGCTATGTCGTATCTCTAGTACGACTGCTTTCACACGTGTGTCGGTTAAGGAGAGCACGCAT